CCGCATCAACCAAACCAAAAACATTCTGTTTTTTATTAATATTCTAATAAAAAACAGGTCTGGAGCTGCAGTGATAGTTTTCTGTGCATCTGACTTGATTCTGTTCATCCAGGCTGCATAGTGAAGCACTGGGGCCCCCTGCTGGCCACTTCAAAAGCTCAGCAGCTGCTGTTTCGGATCGTAGACGGGCTCCTCCTTCCTCCCAAACTACCGCAGCAAGACAAACCTCTGAGGGACAGCTTACCCCTCTACCTGCAGGTCAGAACCAGCAGAGACTGGATGCAACCATCCCTCTATCCTCCATTCTGTTATTAAGGAGTTTTTCTCTTCATTTCTTCTCCTTCAGGGTCTGTCGGTGGCCTCCAGCGTGTCTCAGTCGCAGGGCGCCGGGCTCAAACAGCAGCTTCGCTCTGTAACCCGCAGATACCTCGATCATTTTCTTCCCGCCTCTCCCTCTCTGGGCGTCATCGCCAACCACCCGGTGCTGCTCGGTGCTTGTGAGGCCACCCCGACTCCGAGGGGGGCGGCGCTGAGGAGGACGGTGCTGGAGGTGCTTTGGTAGGTCTCTACAGCTGAGGGTTCAGTCACCAACGTCGGGTTAAAGTTCGAAAACTGGATGTTTTTTGCTACTTCTTGCAGTGAGAATTTCCTGCAGTTCAAAGGTCATGCCCCTCCTCCTCGCCTTGCACCTGTCTTGATGTTCCTGTTGGAGCTTTTGAGACGAAATGGCGACACGGACGTTTCCCTGCTCAGCCTGCCTCTTCCCTGCCTGCTGCGCTGTTTGATGCTGGTCAACGAGCCAACGGGTAAGAAGCTGAAATCTTTAAAGGTCTAGTTAATCTGCTGAGTTTTTTTTTTTTTTTTTTTTATCTGCTGGACATACAGTAAAGATATCTACTAATTATCAGAACAGCCCAACTATTTCCTCTAAGCCCCACCATCTCAGTGGTAATAATATACATAAAAAACCCAGTTCCTCCCAGCAGCATCCAGTTATCTGAATGCTACTTTAAACATGAGGTACTACCAAAAATGGCTTCCTCTTTTGTGAGGCGGTTTTCCATATTCTGCATGGTTTTCCATCTCTACAACAAAAAAATCCTTTGTTTTCTGAAAAAGTATCAACACTTGTAAAACGTTCACATTTAATGCCTATAGTTTGTGCTCTGCTGCCTTTCCTGGTACTTCTAAATAAAATCCAGTGCAACAGACCGCCGTCAGCAATTGACCAGTAAATGGAGTCCAGCTGTGTGTGATGTAATCCCACTATTATTTATGGATTAACCAGGGATCCAGTGAAGAAAAAAAGAACCATTCACTGACTGTGAACAGAGCTACTGGTTTATATGTTATCACCATGTAGAGGTGCGTTCAGGAACAAAGTGATGCTAAAGCCAGGCATACACTGTACAATTTTTTTTTTGTCCTTTGCGGGCCGATTCTCCTAGCCTGGGTGCCATTCCGAACTTAATCCCGCCCACAAAGTTTGAGGTCGTAGAAGTTCGGTCTGGCTCTGCTCCATAGTAGCGCGAGTATTAAAGCCCACTGTCAGGCGATCCAATCAAATTGTCAGGGCGGGCTTTATACGATGATGGACAGATGACCAACAGTAACGTCATCAACCACGTGACCAAAGCGCGCTTGGGTGACAACAATAATGGCTGCCGCTGGAGAGTTTGGGTGAGTAGATTCTGCTATTAGGTCTGTTCTAGAAGATATCGACAGCAAATTAATTTTAAAAGAGGAACAGAGAAACGCGATCAAAGCTCATCTTCTTATTCTAGGCGTGAAACTGCACGCTTTGATTTTTGTGGACAACAACTATGCCTCGCTTAAGATACGTCACGCACTCCGTTGCTCTTATTGGTTGTAGGTCTATCCAATTGAGTGCAGAGGCATTTTTTTTCCTGGTTCGTTCGAAACACGCCCCATAATCACAGCTCTATGGAGCAGTATCAGACTCATATTCTGACTAGAATTGAGTAGGACTACGTCAGGCTACGATTCTCCAGCTTTTCTCCAATTTTTTGATCGGGCCGAGTTTAAGCCTCATTATGTGTTGTGTAGTGTACAGGGGGTAACTAGGGGCGATCAGACGCTCCCGACCAACCCCCGATCAGGAATCATAAGGTCAGGAGAAAATCAAATATGTTTGAAATTTAGTTGTCATTGTGAGATTGCGTCAGATCGTCGGGTCGCACAGTATGAGAACAAACATCGTGAGCTGTGAACTTTTAAACCCTGCGGTTTCGTCGTACAGTTGGAGCTGTAGCTGCGTGCAATGGTTGAAAATATCGCAGAGTGTTTGTCCGGCTTAAGTGATGGGAAGGATTTTAGCAATGAACTTTTTAAAGATGGGTGAAGGAGATGGAGCTTTTTTTTTTTAATAAAAACAGAAAAATGATAGAATGAAGTAAGAAATGCTGGACTACTAAATCATTCATCATTCCTTCTGAAATGAAATTAAGTTTGTCCCATTATTGGTGCTCATATCAGGTTTTGTAAAAATAAAAAAAAGAATAAAAAAAAACATTACTGTTTTTGCACATTTTTATTTCTTTTTTAAAGCTTTTACATCTACACCTCTTAATTTCTCTTTTATAAATTGCATTTTTTTCAGATTGCATTTTACAGATTACACTCCCTTCACTTATGAAGGCAGTTTCCTACGAAGATGCATTTCTATTGGTCTGCTGGGCGTTGGTAACATTTTTATTGGTCGTTATGGGGGGGCAGTAAGAGCGAGTGTTTGTTTTCAGCTTGAAGAGAATGTGATCTGTAAAAGATGACTTAAAAGGAATGCAATTCTTAAAAAATCAATTTGGAAAAACATAAATAAATAAATAAAATCTGTAAAAAAAAAAAAAAAATTTTTAATAATCTGAGAAAACAGCAAAGTTAATCTCAGAACCTCTCTTTTCTGGATTGCATTTCCTTTGATCAAAAACTGTTTTTACTTCCAAAAATAATAGAACAAATTCACTCCATGCTGCCACCTTCCTCCCTGATGCCCAGAATGCCTCCTTCCCTTATGGTTAATCGTTATCAGAAGCAGGATAACATTTTCCATGATTCAGTAGGATTTGGTGTAGTTCAGCCCTCCACATTAAAGAAAGCAGTTGCAGTGCTTATATGGGTGGATTGTTGCCGGAAAATCAAGCTAATGATAGCATTACACGAAGAAAGCTGCCATGCATAGTTTTAGAGGCAGCATGCTAAGGGATGTGTTGCAGAAACCTAACAATGCCTATAGTCATACAGGGTGGTGGCTGCATCATCATCATGCAGAGAGGAAGATGGGTGGAGCTAAACACATGGAGCACCTGATGGAGGAGAAGAAAAGCTTGAGACTGCAGCAGAAACCCTAGATGTTAAGGGTGTTTGCCGGATCCAGGCTGCCACAGCAATTTACCCTGAAAGGCCAAACAAGACATTCAATGTCATAAAATTGAGGAATTTGTGTTTTTTTTTAAGTATAAAAAGCTGAAATCTGCCCCAAAAAAAGATTGGGATTAATGACTTGATGGTGCTGGATTTGCCTGATATAAATTCAATTTTAATCTGAACAGATTTGCAGCAGTAATCCCATAAATCAAAGGTGGTTCGACAACGTTTGGATTTAAGAGGATTAAAACAGAAATGCATGTCGCACTCTTCAGATTTCTATTTCCTGTATATTTTTTTAAAGAAAATCCCCCGTCATGTTGGCTCAATTTTCACCACGACGCTCCTCTTTGTGCTCGTCTGAGTGTGAAAAAACGTCAAGGAGTTTTTGGAAATAACTGACTTGAAATCCCTGAAGCTTCTGTTCATTTCAACCATATTCGAAATTCTATGTTTTTGTCGTTTTTTTTTTTTTCTCAGTGAGGAAGACGAGCACAGATGCACTGCAGCTTGTGGTGGAGCGATGTGCTGCGGGAGCTACAGAGAGGCCATGTGAGGCGACGGTCGCCGTCCTACGGTAACCAATGGTCATCTGCACCGCCATCCTTTATGCTACATTCAGGGTTTGCGTGGGTCATTAAAAACCATTAAATTATTATTTTTTAAATTAAGGCCTTAATGGGCATTAAATGTGATTAGCGTGGCATCTAAAATGCTTTATTTAAAAAGAACGTTTCTAAAAAAGAAGTTTTCTAAAAACAATTTCATCAGAGATGTATATATGTGTGTATATATATATTTGTGTGTGTGTGGGTATATATATGTGTGTATGTGTCTTTATATATATGTGTGTGTATATATATATATATATGTGTATATATATATACACATATATATATATATATATATATATATATATATATATATATAAAGAGTTACTCATTCCTGTTTAAACCCTGAAATTTCGATTTAAAAAAATTCACATAATTTTTCTTTATCGGCTTGGCAGGAAAAATGCGATTGACTGTAAACTTGGAATTTCCTCTCAGGTCGTTCGTGGAGGAGAACGTGGGCGTCTACGACAGGCAGGTGTACGGCGTCCTGGAGACGGTGGCTGTCTTGGATCCCGCCGTGGTTCAAGCTCTCATCCCCAACCTGACTCTGTGTCTGAGGAACGTGGAACACAAACGAGGACTGGGCAAGAACATCGCCCTGAGGTGAGCAGGCCGATGAATCACACCGGGCAGATTTCACCGCCTTCATCTATTTATAAGCCGTCTAGACGGTTAGTTTGTTTATTTTATATATATATATGTGACACATCCGTCTGTGTTACAGGAGTGCGTACATAAAGCTGCTGTCTCTGCTTGGACAAAGTGGGCAGACGGAAATAAGCACCTTGGAGAGCGACTAAGACTTTACAGCAGTTTTAGCCACCTGATGGGACTGACAGGAGTAGCTTAGAGAAATTTCATCTGGAGACATTTTAGGTGGAGTCTGAACATTTCAAAAGCAGAATTGTATATAATGCACATATGATAAAGAATGTACAGCTTTTCATTTTGATGTTTTAAAAATAAATCCTCACCTTCTTCTATGCATCTGAGCCTTTTCAGTTTTTTTTCCTTTGGAAGAGTCCTTTCCTCTCTCTTACTCTGCTTCACAGATCTAATGACAGCCATGGGTAAGCCCAAATAGTTCAGGACTTTCTAAAAGGAAAAAAGAAAAAGGGAAAGAATAGAAGAACTGTTTGTTCCAATCCTCCATTTCTCGCCTCTCTAAGTTGCAGCAATCTCTCGCAATCTGACTTTGGTTTGCATCTAATCACAGGAAGTCTCACTCCTGTCATCCGCAATCACCAAGTCCCATTTTCTGTCATTGCTAGTCATTTTACAGCCTCGTCTGACGGCAGAGCGGCTTTTGTCCCGCGATGCGGCGCGGGTCAGAGATTCCCTGCAGAAACCGGGAGATACTTCAATGTCTGCATCGGATAATTAAAAACCGCCCATCTTTTTTTTTTTTTACTCTGAAAGCATCTTTATTGATTTTTTTTCTCCATTGATTCTTGCAGATGTGTTGTTTTGGATAAATGAAGGAAGTTCAGGCATCGGATCATTTTATTAATTTTTTCCTCGTTTGATAAAAGCGTATTTATTACAGTTGATGATGCCGATGAGTGAGGATTCAGGACTGTATGTCCAGACATTCCTTTAAAACACATAAAGTCTTAGTGGGGGGGTCCTGAGCATAAAATAAAACCCCTCCCAAACAGCACCGCAGCTTTCACACTGTCTCATGTGTACCGCTGCTTTTGCAGGTGAATTGTTCTTCAAATTCACATTTGGAGCGTTAAAAAAAAAAAAAGCATCCTCTCTGTCTTTAGAGTTCACAGTTATAAAACCTTACAGGAATAGATGAGAATGATGATGTCCATGTTTTAGTTTTTTTGCTGGGGGAGAAAACGACCTTAAAGCTCTGTTTACCCGACGGGTCTTCCTTCTGTAGATCCTAACTAAACGCTGTGACTCTGAGTGATAGCTAGCGCCTTAGTCTGTGGGAGAATACAGGAGGGACCGGCTGGACAGCAGTTTGTAACAGCTTCAATAACAACATGGCTCCCCTGTTTCAGTCTTGTTCCAAAGTGCTGACTGGGAGCGGATCCGTGGTCTGGTTGTGTCACACGGCGCCGATCCTGTGATGGGGTACTTGTAGCGTCTGGAGGTTTGGGCAGGCGAAATAAGGAGCGGGGAGGAAACAGGTGGCGATGCCGTTTGAGGCGAAAGGCAGCGTTGGTCCGTAGAAAACCTCCTCCTTCCCCTCTGTGCTCAGATCCAGCACCTGAAACAGGAAATTCAAACCGTGGTATCAGGCTAGTTTGAATTAGGGCTGAAACAATCAGATTAATTGTGATGAATCGATTATTGAAATAATCGTCAACTAATTCAGTTATAAATCTAAAACAGGCCTTAAGCCGACCAAGCAACCCTCTTAGAGCAGATTAAAAAAATACATAAACATTTTGCATTTAAGTTAAGAAAAAGAATGTCAATATGCTCTATCCAGAACTACAGTGGAAAAGTTTGAGTTTCACCGGGTTTAATTTCATAAAAAAAGTCTTCTTTAAAGAACCTTTGGCTATCCGATTATTAATCAATTAATCGCAAAAATAATCAACAGATTAATCGATTTGCAAACTAATCATTGGTTGCAGCCCTACTTTAAATATCACTTCTTTATATGGCAGCATGAAGCGTATTTATGTCTTTTTATTATTTTATTACCACAAATTTGATGGTATTTCATTGGGATAGAAAGAGAAACAAAAGTGGCTATTTTTCTTTTTGCACACAAAGATCCAATTTTTTGTTTTTGTGTAAATGTTGCAGTAAAAAAACAAAACAATTTTTTTTAACTATAACTAATGAATGGATTTCCCAACAATTAAATAAAAGTGTTTTTAGTTGTTTTACACTGCAGATGTTTCATTATTGGATTGAAACCACTCCAGAGTTGTTCAGGTGTTTAGATTATCGAGTGTACCTGAATGCACCATAGAGTGCAGCTGAGCGACTCCCCAGAAAATGTAGGAGTCTCAGGTTATGTTCATACTGTAGGAAAATGTGACCCGAATTAGAAAGTCATATCTGACTTTCATGGCAGTCAGAACGGTTCAATTTGGATCTTTTCACCTCCTTAATAATGTGTTCCCCTTCCATAAGTGGAACTAAACATTGGAAGACCTGCAGTGTGAACGAAGCTTCTAGTTTAGCAGATAATATTTAGATAATTATTATTTTTTTTGATTTGACAATAGATTTTGCTATAGAATCTGCTAGAATCCTTACGCTTCTGGTCCACAGTGGAGGCTGCTGGAGCAGCGTTCCAGTAGAGGTACCTTAAACGGTTCTAGTGATGACAAAAAAACGTTAACATCCAGTGATTTTGTTTTTAACTGATTTTAACCAGTTGTAACAGATCCAACCTTCTGCAGTCTAGTAGCATGTTTCCCTCCTGCAGTGATTGGGTCCATCACCTGCCCTGTTTTAACATGTTTGATTTCAAACCCAAACTTAAATCCAGAACATTTCTTTCCTCTTTGGTTGAAATTTACGATTTTGTAATCAAGTTGATTAATTTAAGAGATATTTTTCTTTTAAAATAAAATCTGAGAGCAGCTCTTTACATCAGTGTTATTTTTCCTTTAAACCACAGTTCAACTTTAAAGCCTGATAAAAATAACTTCTCTCTGCTCTACGGCTTGTCGTTGAATCCAGGATTAACTCTAGATAACGGGATTTCGCCTGTGATGAGCCAACTGTAGAAAAACTCGTAAGTGTTACAGCTCCCACCTGAATGCATGCCAAAGGCTCGTTGGTCCAAATGGAGTATCCTCCCACCACATAAATCCTGTCATCATGGACGGCTACTCCAGACTCATTTTGACCTGAGGATGACAGAGATGAAAGTTCTCAAGATTGCTGCAGCTTCTTCCCCAAGAGCAAAAAGAGGGCAGAGAGGAGAAGAAACTCAAACTGAGACGATGACTTCCTCTGACCTAAATCTTTTTTTTTTTAAGGAACTAGAAAGTACAGATTTAAAAAAAAAAAAAAGTGCCCATTAAATGTTGTAACTCTACTGATTTGGTTAAGATCATTAAAATTTTTTTTATATTTAAGGTAAATTGCCTAGAAAAAAAGCAAAAGCTTCTCCAATCCAACCTGCTCTTTTACAGAAATGAAAAAGCCTCATTTAACAATGACCCATTACAACAGAACCTGTCTGCCAACAGGAAGTAGGCTGGAAGTTCTCAAACAGCGATATATCAGTGATTTAACGATCGTAAAGAACAGGGGATAAACAGAATCAATGGAACTTATCAGATAAAAATAACGATTTTTAAAGCACTGAAAGACATCAGGGAACCATTTTATCCAAAATGAGAGACGGAGAAATTTCCAAGCAGGGACCGGCTTAACTCAAATATTTCTACAAAAAAGAGAAACGCCATAAACAATGCAGACATCAAGCTTATCATATAAGGTTACTGTTTATTATAAAAGACACTGGGCACCATTTCTTTGAGCAGGGATAGCTGCAATCCAGAGTCAGTTCTGGGTTCCGTTTCGCAAAGCAGGTTTAGGAAACTCAGATTTGAATCCGCAAATCTAAATTAATCTAGCCTAAAGTTGGGATTTCCTTGTGTTTCATTAAAGCTTCTATGAATTAGTTTAATCAACTCCAAGTAGAACTACTCAGTTCAACACGTGCGCAACAAGTATGAAAAGCCTTTATCAGTGGAGCGATTCGACGAGTCACCATGGCAACAGGAAGTGCCTATTTCACCCCATTGGAAATGGAGATTTTAATGCACAAATAATATAAAAAAGGAGGATTTGTTTAAAAGAAAGAGAAACAGTGCTACAGCTGCAAAGGAGAGAAAGATGGCGAAGGTGAAGATTGTTGCTCGAGTTAATGCTTACGTTTATATGAAGTGTCTATGGCAGGCTGTTTTTACATTTAATAAAAGCACTCTCCTCTCTGTTGTTCCATTTGGAGATCAATAAAATAAGATTCTTCCTGATGTGCTGGTGAGGATTCTCAGTCATCCAGGTCATAGTCATTCCAAAAAAAGTAAAAAAAATAAATAAATAAAACAATCCACTGGACTTTGTTTCTAGTTAGAAGACGTTTCACTTCCCATCCAGGAAACTTTCTGTTCAAAATGTCAGGAATAGCGTTGAGGTAATATTAAATGAATATTGATTTTTTTTTTGTCCAATATTGAAATTAATTTCTAGACATCCAGAATGTTTATTCTGGAGAATGTCATTTTGTTTGAAATGGTCATTTAGATAAAGACAAAAGGTTTTTCTTTTTCAGATATCAGGAATACATATTCAGTGAAACTAATACATATAAACATGTCTTGCCACAGTCTCTTCTGACCTGGATAATCTTACGGGATTATGTCTTGAATGTTAGTAGATCAATGTATCTGTTTAGGTGATATCTTCAGGTGAAAATTAAGTCTAAAACGTTCATATTGATGGAACCTCATTTTTTCATAGGGTACTTTGATACTTTGGGGTGGTTTGATTCTGTCTTTTTTTTTTTCACAGTATATACTAATTGACTGTTTGCAGCTGCTTCAGATGTTATCATACCAATAAATGGAGGTTATTAGCAGCTATCCTTCCCATAGAATGCCTTCAGATTGTGCCAGTAGGCTCATTAGGTTGTTATCGAGTGAATCCTAATCCTAAAGTAATTCCTTTCCTCCCACAGAATTAATGAATCTATTTATGCGAAATCTGAAACTGATTTCATTAGTTCGTCATGTACTGTAAAAATAAATAAATAAATAAAAATAATCTCCATGTCACTCATATTAAAGGAAAGGCACAGTAATATTCAGAATTCAAACTTCTGAAAGTACTTTGAATATAAAATTGTTACATAGAGTTCAATAAATGATAAGTGTTTTTAATTAAGAGTAATTTTCATTTGAATGTGCTTTACCGGAGGCATCCAAAGAACACTACTGCCACCTACTGGTTTGTGACGTCACGGTGCGGTATCGGCTGTTGATCAAGTCCCAGTGCTGTATCTGGTGTTTGTCACAACGCGCTATTATCCAAGTCATCTTGAAAACATTCTTCTTCCAAATGTTGGCTACATATTACAGTACGTGTTTTTTCTCTGGCCAGAAGTTTGATGGCAAATCCTCCCTCTTCAAGTGGGCAATCCAACGATGAACCCGTACGTGGAGATCAGGAATCGGAAAGGTGAAATAACCAATTTTCTTTCACTTTTACCCGATGTATTCCAACATCTTACTACGATGCACGTGGGCATTGTCAGTTTCACTATAGCTCTGGTGAATTTCAATAGTTAAGTCCTCTGGAAATCTTCAATAATTGTTGCAGATGTGTCTAGTAGTTCCCATTGACTTTGCTTGTAAGGCGGGGAGAATGGCGCTAGGCTTACTGCACCGTGACTTCACGGACTCCATAATTGTGACAAAAATTATTGTGTTCATTTTTTTACTGATTTATGTTAAATTCCGAGAAAGTATTAGTTTTAGGTGTGGATAATGATCAATTGATTATTCCTTGCTGACCGGACTTCTCCTTAAAACAAAGCAAACATGCATAAATCTCCTATGCTGTCACTGAGTTGTAGAAATCTCTCCCTATAAATATTGAATTATCTGTGAATTAATGCAGATAATTCTTTAATAAGATCTTGTCAAACGGACATGCAATGTTTGTTTTTAAAACATAAAGCGTGTAACGGACCTAGTTAAGAATTATTATTTTATTTATTTATTTATTTTTCACACACCAAAGTACAACAAAAATCTGACTAAATCAGGAAATAAAACAGCATGATTGGCTGTAAGGAGAGGGAAGACAGAGGACACTGTCCTGCGCCCGACCAGGTTAGCTCTGGGGAGAATGTTACTATGGTGACTGAAACAGAGCTTGAGGAAACTTTTTGTGAAACAGAAAAGTCCAATATTTCAGGTTTAGAAAGCCTGCTTTGTGAAACTGACCTCTGGAGTAAATCCCTGCAGTTCCTGGCTTTTCTGTTTCTGAAAGCTAAGAAGTCGTAAACCCTGAGTAGCATTATGAGAATAAATCACTGTTTGGATTAACACAGAGTATTTCCTACCTTTTAGCTGAGATCTGCACAAGAAAATGTTGGAAATGGTCTAACTTTTGGTTTTAAAATTAAAATAAAAAAAATTTCACAAAAAGAAAAATTCTCTTCTATGGAATGTTGATAAATCTTATATGTATGTCTAAATCTAACATTTAATAATAAGCATGTCTTGAATCTAAATACATGTGATTTATTAAATCTTAAACCTCAGACTGAAATATAGAAGTAATATCAGGCAAACATGGACTTTGGCAATAAGGACTTCTTCAACTTGCTGCAGCTGATAGAGAAACTTATTCTATTCATATCTAGTTATCTGGTTTCAAAAGTAATTACTTCTCTTTTCTTTTTCTTTCGTCGTAAGGCCGAGCTTGATCTGAGAGCTTTTTATTTCCTGTCAAAAAAATCTAACTTTAAAACAGCTTTTTTTATTAGTTCAGGTCATCTTTATTGCACTTTATTTGATTATCTGAAGCGTTTAAGGCCAAAAAAGGCAAAACAAACCAGACCAAATCAGAGATTTAATATGATTTCAGAGCATTTTGTGAGATGAGTGGAGCAGAGGAAAGGTGCTGTGGGTGTTTTTTAGTGTTTCTGCTACATTCAACCTGCAGACATGTGAAGCTCTTTAACACCAATCTGATTGTTCCAGAGCTGTTTCCTCTGACCTTGTGCTGTGACCTCGAAGCCGTTTATGGATCGGCGACCCTCGTTCTCAGCCTCACTGAACTCAGTCAGACCTTAATGCTGCTCAAACTGTTTCTGTTTGCAGACAGAGGAACGTTTGATGGTTTGGTTACCGGCGCCTCTGTAATTATCCCCGCCCACCTGTGAGCAGGCTGAAGGAGCAGCGCGTCCACTGGTCCAGGTCCATGTCGTAGGAGTCGATGTGACGGACCAGGATGCGGTCGTTGTTGTAATCCAGGTCGTTCCCGCCGAGCACGTAGAGCCGCCTCCTCACGGCGGCCATGACGTGGTACACGCGCCTCTGCAGCATGGGGCTGCGGGCCAGCCACTGGTCCTGATGGCGGATGGGGAGAGGGAAAGGAGGAAAGAGAATGAGGACGAATGAGGAGATTAATATTTAAGCATATCCATGCATGGGTAATTGATGTATGCTCAGTGCTGGATAAATAACGTGACACTGGAGCGCTGCTTTGTACTAATGACTTCCCTCCCTATTTCTAATCATATGTTTCATCCACTCCATTTTACACCAAGGATCCCTGCTCATCTCACTAAGTGTGGGGAAGCTTATTTTGTGCCAGTGTGTGTGTGTGTACTTGATTGAGGGAGAGAATGAGAGTGTGTGTGTCTGCTGGGAGCTGACGGGTGGCCATCTGTTGAGGGTAGAGTGGGTGGGGGGTTGCTGTTGCTCTGGCAGGTGAAAGTAGATCCGTGCTGAATATAAATGAGGCTCTCTCCCTCTTTCTTTCCCTCGCTTCTTCATTCCCTTGCTTGAAAGAGGAAACACAGACCCCATATGGACGTGCACCTCTGCTGCATGCAGCCGCAGACACAATCCAGGCCTCTTCAAAGCGCCACCAACAGAAAGGCTGCTCCTCACAGCCCCGCCGCCTTCAAACAATCCATCGAAACTTTTATCTGGGAGGCGCTTAAACGCGCCATCAGGCAGCCCAAGTACAGAGCCGGTGAATAAGAAAATATAAAGAAATCATCGTAATAAAAGCGGTGAGCACACAGCAAAAATAAATAAATGCTAACGACAGCGACTGATGAAGAATACTGGAGTTAAAAGAGGAGTTTTTAACTTTGCAGTTCTGGTGGAGTCCAGGATCTGCAGCAGGAGTGTTTCATCTTCAGATCCGAAGAGCTTGACAAGAGGAGGAGTCCATCTTCTGTACCTGCTTCTCTGTCAGGGTCAGAGGGGCGGGCATCCATGTCCATCAGACGAGGTCACAAGGCCACACAATCAATACAAGGCAGTTTTTGTCAGGGTGGGGTTGAGGTTTGGAGCACCCAAATGCAGAGGTGAGGAGGCAGAGGTGAGTTCTTGAAGATTTAATTAGGAACTCACAGGCAACTGAAGCAGGAATAAAAAAAATCCAACATAACAAAATACAGAAAAACCAGAACCTTGGAGGCATCAGGGAAAACAAACATGAGGAGCCAGGAAAAGATGAGGAACCAGCACAGAGGAACTGCACAGGGAGAGTATATATAGGAGACAGAACAAAGACAGGACTAATGAGCTGATTGGGAGCAGCTGTGAACAGAGGAGTCTAGAAGGAAGCTAGGGAAAAGGAGACCAACACAAGAGGGCAACCAAGAAAAACCCAAGAAATCAAATACATCCAAAAAACACCACAAAATAGGAATTAAACCAATAAAACTAGACACAAAGAAAAACATGGATCAATGTGAAACTGAAAACTCAAAGAAAACTTAACAGAACCAAAACCGTGACAGTTTTATTTTTCGAGAGTTTCTAATGTAGGAGGGAGCCTTTCACGGAGAGGCTCCCTCCTACATTACAGACTTGTTGTGTCCTTATACCCCCCTCCCGGAGGCTGAGGTCTCAGGAGCAGAACCTGCTCATGGTCCCTCGTACTCGTTACAGGATCGCTCCTTTCAGGAGGTCGCGCCGGCGCCCTGGAACAATCTTCTGCTTTCCTCGCGTTTACTTGATTCTGTTGATGTTTTTAAGAGTGAACGGAAAACCTATTTGTTCAAGCATTTTAATTCCAGCAGATTAAGGGTTGTTTTATGACCACGTCTTTTGTGACTAAATGTATTTTATTTGTATTTTAATTTTTTGAAGCACTTTGTGACCTCTATGTTTGTAAAAGGAGCTATATAAATAAACAGTACTTACTTGCTTACCTTTTTTTTTGGTCAACTTGTTACATTATTTAGTATTTACATAAAGTGCAGATCTGGCAGTTTGTTGGATTTTTTAGTGTTTAATAAGGGAGACGGTTGCCATCATAACGCTGAGAAGGTGGCTGTTTCTGAGGTTCTTCAACCATTTTCCTGATGGAGGGAGTGAGGAGGGGATTCTAATAGGGAAGCGTTCACTGTTAGAGCTGTTTTGAGATGAGATGAATGACAAGAGAACACGAGTAAAAGTTGTGTTTTTGAAATGTATGAAAATATGGGCGGTTCTACACTGGGGCCAGCGGGGGCCAGTGCCCCTGTAGATCATGTCCTGGCCCCTGTACCAAAGACATAATACTCAAAGAAATTCTAATGATGATAAGCGCTGAAACAGACATGGTTTCTGATAGGTCCTTTCGATCTTTTTCCTTTTTTTTTTTTTACGGCTGAATTTATCCGAGTATGTGTTGGCTTGCCCCACATGTGCCCGTAACAAAGCCTCACACCAACCTCCTTCTGGCCTGCTTCAACCACTTCCTGTTCCCTCGCGTCCCTGGTCCCATATCGCCATTGATTTCGTCACCGGTCTCCCTGTCTCTCGAGGTATGTCCACCATATTCACTATTGTTGACCGTTTCTCGAAGTCTTGCCATCTTATTCCCCTCAGAAAACTTCCCACGGCCTTCCAGACAGCCCAGCTTCTCATCAAACATGTTTTCCGGTTTCACGGCATTCCCCAAGAGATCCTCTCGGACAGAGGTCCACAGTTCATCTCCCAGGTCTGGAAGGCTTTCTGTTCCGCTCTCGGCTGCAAACCCTCTCTCACCTCTGGTTATCACCCCCAATCGAATGGTCAGACTGAGCGTATGAATCAGCAATTGGAATCCACCCTTCGCTGCCTCACGTCAAACAACCCCGTGGACTGGAGCCAATTTCTTCCATGGATCGAATACGCTCATAACTCCCTCAAATCTGCATCTACTGGACAATCCCCATTTCAGGTCAGTCTCGGCTATCAACCACCTCTTTTTCCCGCAGACGAGAGAGAGATTTCGGTGCAGTCCGTCAACCAACACATCCGCCGTTGTCAAAGGATCTGGAGGGAAACCATCGCCACTCTCAACCGGTCATCTGAGTCAACAAAACGCTTCGCCGACGCCAGGAGACGTCCCGCCCCCGAGTACACCGAGGGCCAGGAGGTATGGCTGTCCACTCGAGACATCCCCCTCAAGGGGATGTCTCGAAAACTCTCCCCTAGATTCATCGGACCCTACAGGATCACTCGAGTCATCAACCCTTCAGCCGTCCGTCTTCAACTACCTCAGTCCCTCCGTATCCACCCTACCTTCCACGTGTCTCAGATCAAGCCTGTCTCCTCGAGCCCTCTGTGCCCACCATCCGACTCCCCACCACCCGCCCTGGAGGTCGATGGTCATCCGGCCTTCACGGTTCACCGCATCGTGGACTTCCGTCGACGAGGTCGCGGTTGGCAGTACCTCGTCGACTGGGAGGGCTACGGACCGGAGGATCGCCAGTGGGTTCCAGGCTCGTACATCCTCGATCCAGCCCTTATCGAGGAGTACGAGCGTTCCTGCCCATCAACCTCTTCCGGACCGCCAAGGCGCGGTCGTTGAGGGGGGGGTACTGTTGGGAGCTGGAGAGATTCCACCTTTCTCCAGCAGAGTCCGCCGTGGATCCTCTGAGGGAGCCTCCTGCACAGCTGCAGCTCGTCTTAAGCTGTCTTCAGACCTTGCCTCAACGCCGCAGTGTTGTTCCAGTTGGCGGGCGCTTAAGCCTAGATCCTCAGAGTATTTCGATGACTTTTGAATCCAGCTTGGATTCTAATCCCTGTTTCTGTTTTCCAGGAAACCTGTGCCTCCTCTGTGAAAGCTCATGAAGAGCTAACCTGCCGAGCCGACCCTCAGAGCCAAACCTGAAGATTCACAGAGAACCTCCAAGCAGCTCTGGACTAGAGCTGGAAAACCCAAAGCCAAGGTCTGTTCAAATTAGACGTGAGACGCTGAAGCAGCAAACGGACTCTGCTGATAAACTCTTCTCCAGAACCAACAGTGACTCTCCCAAAGCTAACCTCAAGAACCCTCAAGGTACAATCAGTAAACTTCAGGAAATCAAACCTCCGTTGACAACGCTAACTGAACTATCTCTCACGCAGACTCCGGTGAACCAGAATCGAGGCCCCGAACCTGAACCAGTATATTCTGTGTGTTTGTCCATAAATAAACTGTTAAACTTTCATCCTTGTGTCCGTCAGTGGTGTTCTGCCTTCTTGGGTCACTTTTAGTGAACCCATCATGACAGATACGCCTGTATAAGATGCATTAACCTCCAAAATGAGTCCAGATTAAAGATTTTCATTGAAAAACAGTCAGATTTGTTTCTACTGTATTCCATGCAATCAAATCATCCACCACGACCTGACAATGAGTGAAAAGAAATAGGTGATGATTATTTGCACGACTGCACAACTACAGGCCCCGCAGGCATGGATGGACTGAGAATCCAGGGCTGTTGGCCAGCCTCATTCATTACTTATACAGGTTAAAGATCTCATTACCTCAAGAAATCAATAACTGTTTTCTCATGTTAACGAGATAATTATGTCATTATCTCGAGAAAACAATAAATTGTTAAGCCGTGATAACGAGATAGTTATGTCATTATCTTGAGAAGGCAAAGGGGAAAAAAAAGTCGAGTATGACCGACCTCGGCTTCCGAAGTTAAAGTTTGCAAAAACAAAGTTTAAAAAGATTTGATTTGAGAAATTTTTCAAAGTATAAATGGAACAAGATTCACTGCATAGCTTCTCCGTCTTCACTCAACAGTAGTGTTGGTTTGGTGCAAAACCGGTTCAGTTAAACTCCAGTTAAACTGTTTCCAAATATCTGTGGATTTTACATTTAGGATGAAAAACCTTCGAGAACTCCTAAAGTTTTTAAGCTTCACCTTTTTCAAAATCTATAAAATATCCAATACAAAGTACCTTTTGGTTCCTGATTAATAACCAATTAATTAAATAAAACAATCAATCAGTCAATCAATCAATCAATCAATCAATCAATCAATCAATCAATCAATCAATCAATCAATCAATTAGGTACCTAACAGTTATTCTCAGTTTTGTGTACTGTGAATTATCAGACTAGCAAAGTGCTACTGATGAAAGCATAAACAATTTTATACACTATGATGTCAGAATAGTCATCAATATGCTTAAAGTATTTATGAATATGTTGCTGTATGTTTGGGGATTTGGTGTTCCATTTTTCTACTCCCTGTTCTGCAGGATTGATATACAGTGCATCTATCCAGATTAACACACAGATGTTTGAGTTACAGAAACAGTGGAAACATGATCATGTTTGTTAAATATTTCCTCTGCACTTAGTTCCAGCTCTGGAAGTTATAGCTCTAATAAATGAGATTCTGGACTGCTGTGACACATGGAGCACAGAAGCAGACAGACAGAAAAGGTGTTAAAACATGAAGCTGTTAAGAGACAGAGCTAGATTTAAAGTTTTCTGTTATTCTCCCTTTAAACAAATTTTACGACTCAGGATTCCAACTTTTTTGTTAAACTTTTCCAAAATGTTTTCCTACAACATCTAACTGAGTGCAGAGCCGGAGCTAGATGGGGGGCCAGGGCAACCCTAAGGCAATCACTAGCCAACCCTGTGGCCACCCCTACCCTTTATTTCCCTCTAATACAGATGGTGGCAGCAGTGGAATATTCAAAACATTAAATTTTTTTGTAATTAATTATAAACATCAATATACTAACATCAAAGATGATAAGTACAGAATTGATGCTCTTTCCAGAACTACATTTTGTGTTATATGGGGTAAAGAGAAAATTATCAATAAGTCTAGGGATGCACGATATAATCGGCCCCCTATCGGTATCGGCCTGTATCGGCCTTAAAACTGAATATCGGACATCGGCCACCCCACCGATATTTAACCCGATATTTGATCAGCTTCTGAGTTTCTAAAGTCTAAAAAAAACAAAAAAAAAAAACTACTTCTTCTTCTTCCTCAAAAACTTCTTTTTTACAGACTTAAAAACTTCTAAAGACGAGGGAAAAAATATTGATACATTAAAATATCACAATATCTTCATATGCTGATATATTGCCATTTAAAAACACAATATCAATCTCTTTTACTAATGAAATATTGCTATATGTCATCGTTATGCTACGAAATACCCCGAAAATTCACGAAATGTTGCCATATTTTTATATGTTGATATATTGACGAGGTATCGATCTATTTTACTAACAAAATCTCACAAAAATTTGCAAAATATCACGAGTTTGTAACAGAACGATGAAATTTCTTGAGATTTTGAAAGTAAAATAGATCGATACCGCGTTTTTAAAAATCTATTTGATATCAGCATATGAAAATATATTTGAGTATATTATTTTTCAAAGTGTCAGAAATGGATAACAAAACTGCTATTTTCAATAACTACTTATTTTTGTCCAGCTTTAACATCGGTATCGATATCGGTTATCGGGACGCACGAGTTTTAAAATATCGGCATATCGGAAATCGGCCAAAATCCCAATATCGTGCATCCCTAATTAAGTCATCCAGGAGTCTTCAGTGAAATCATAGATAAATAACAATTTTAATAAAAACTTATCAAATAACCAATTTATGTAGTTATTAGTGCTTGTAAATATGCAGAATGTTTATTGATACAAGTAGGTAAGTAATGATAATGGAAAAAATGTATGCGCCAGAACTCAAAACTAAAATAGTTTTCTCCACTATACCTTTATTTAGAAATTAAATTACTATTTAAATATATGCATCTATTTGTTAGCAAAAGGTGTAGGAAAGTTTGTTCTTTTTTTAGAAAATATGGATGTTTTGCTCCTTAATTTTCCTGTTGGAACAGCGTAGATTGACTCTAAGGTTCTGGCGCCCCTCAGCGTGCATTGGTTATTGTCTGACCACCCTTATACAAATTTTCTGGCTGAGTGATACCCACCTGCTCCGGGTCGTAAACCATGAGCCGGTTCTGGTACTGGGCTGTGTTCGTAACGCCGCCTGTAACACAACAAAGTTTGACATGGTGAGATTCTAAAGTTAACAAGCATTAGTAAAACTCCGCATGCAGCAGTTTAAGAGACAGATGTGTGTCTGTGTGTAAACAGGTAGAGTTTAAAATCATTTATGCTGTGTTTTTCCTTTTCCGTTTCTTTTTTATTTCTACAAAACTAAAAAACTGAAACGTTTAACTTTAACTGAGAAATCAAAGTATGTTTCTATATTCAACTCACAGTCTACATTAAGGTCTTTTATAATTCTAATTAAAACACAGCAGCAGAGGATTTCTGTGACAGTCTTATTTCATCAGTATAGACCAGCAGGGTCAGAATGAAGAAAATCTACAACTTTAAACCTGGAATTTGAATGGAGACAAAGCCATTCTAAAGCATATATCAAGGTGCTCATTTTGAGCCTGCATCCATATTTATTTTTTATTCTGTTCATGGTGGAGAATCCTGCTTCAGAGCAGCAATTGAGCCAAACATCCTCTAAGTGTGCAGGGTCATCTTTGAGCACCATTTCACTTTTCTTTCACCAGTTCACCACAGTTTTTCCAGCAGTCCACACTTTCTCTGCTCTCTTTTTCTCATCATCCTCTCCTTCTTTCCCATCGCCCGGCTTGCCATAGGTTTGCCTGCTGTGTCTAAAAGTAGCAGCAGCAGCAACCCAGACTGACAGCAGCTCATTGGCTAATTTGAATCACATGTGGCCTGTTCCTGGCGCTCCAAATGGCTTTACCATATTAACAGGAGAAGCGGCACAAGTGAAGTTAGACCCTGTAGTCGGACAACATGCAGTAATTTATAAATGTTTTAAATTAAATTAAAAAAAAAATTACATCCTGATTAGTCAGCAGGTGGGTCAGGACCCGGACCCAGGTCTGCTAAGGTGCTAAGGTGAGCTTAAAGGTGCAGTAGGAGACCTTTTTTGACCACGTGGCTTAAAGATCTCCCCACAGCCACTTAGCAAGCAGTGAAATAGAAGGTCTGGAAGTGAAACTAAAATAAATGGTCCCCGCTACAGTGAGAAATCAATGAATAACCCCAACCAATCACAAAAAACAGTCCGTTGTACACAACTGGTTCCTTGACACGTCAATCATAGTCGTCTGCTTGTCCCTCCCCCCTGTGTGCGTAACCTGACACATGAAAGAATCAACCCCCCAATGCTCGTGCAGGACGCCATGGCTGGAAGCTAGCCTCCGTTATGCTACATTCAGACCTAAAGCAGCAGGAGCAGCAAAAACGCAGCGTGCTGCTTCATTTTTGATGCTTGTACAAGTTTCGTTCAGACACAGGGCTGAAGAATCTCTGCTGCTCTGGTTGCGCGGTGGAAAAAGAGGGTCTGATGTGCGTTGGCCGGAGCTACCCTATCCTTTCTTTGCCTGTATCAATGGCAGCTATATTTGCTGTTATCAGTGGGTAAAAGGTGGTTTAATCTATCTGGAAGCGAGAAAGTCCACCTGAAAACATCTTCAGTGCAGTCAGTTCATCCAGATTACCATCCTGCTTTCAAATATTATTTCTGTCGGAGCCGCTCAGACCCCAGTACATGGGCGACGCGCTGTCACTAGGAATCCCGTTAAAACAGCAGCCTATGGCCCAGTCTTCTCCTCACGGTTTGCTGTGGTGGCTGGAAGGCATTTTTCATGTATCACTGCATGAAAAGTGAGATTTTCGTCCCCGTAAACTCCCGCAGATCTGCCTGATTTTCGTCAGTTTCCGACAATTTGCAACCCGTGCTTGTCCGCGTTTGTCGTGCCACAAATTGTCGGAAACGTACCATGACGTATGTGGAGAGCGATCAGCTGTACTAATGGCCCTAATTAGCATAAGAATACAGCAAACCCGCGCGGCTGGCCAGGTCTGGCTTGAATAACCTTCTCAGTATTGGCTGAAACCACTATTCTCAAACAAGTAAAATCGCTCGTGATTTGCAGCAAAACCAAACGTGGCCACGCCAGGCTTTAATTTTCTTACTGAGTATTGGACGGAACCACTTCTTTTTAAACAACTAAAGTCGCTCGTGATTGGTTGGCATATATATATATATTCACATATAAATTTACATATATATATTTATTCGTAAATATATATATATTTATTCATTCATATATTTATTCATTCATATGGTGTGTATTTATGTTATCCTACACAATTATTATGCTACCATCAAGGACATGAATGAATTTATACAGGAAATGAACATTTGCCAGGAAGCTGTTTATGCAAAGAAAGAGCTTTATTAAAACACACACAACTATATACAACGCATATCCAAACATGCGTTTCTAAAAATTAAAAGTCCGTGAACGGTCCGTTTGCTTCCTCGGGGTTGGAGGTAACTGGCAGCATTCCCTCCGAGGCAGGTCCGATGTGCAGACGCCTACTGTGCGTGGCCCTGTACTTCGGCATCACTTCTAACCGGGACTGCAGCTTAACACTGAGTTCAGAGGGATCCGGCCTACGAAATGGCGGCGACCGTACAATCCATCCAGAGACACCGCCGAGGAAGGCGGACTTCCAGAGTTCCACTTCCTCATCTGCTAGCACACTCTGCCTCGCTTTCAGCAGCTGAAAAAAAAGCAATGAATCAGCGCACTGCGTATGGACACAACACATCTATCAATGCACCTGAAAAATAGTCACCAAATAAAGTCTTACCCTCTTTCTTCTGGCCCGAATCCGAGCAGATAGCCTCCGCACGCAGCGTGTGGCTGGCTGCGTATATCTGAAGCTCCTGCGTACCGTCTGAAAATACGTCTTACAGGCAGCTGGAAAACAATTAAATGAGAGTGGTATAAATAAAAAATCAAACGCAAGTCACAGTAACAAGGAAGGAGAAAACATTAAAACAAGTCACTTACACACAATGTCGTCTTTATCAACATCGTGCAAATCTGGACTTGCCGAGATGGCTCAGAGCAAATAGGAGGTCTGTGAAAACAAAATGTACAGCTATGATCGGTATCCATTTCCTTTTACCGCAGAATGAAAGCATATTCTTTAAATCTTACCCTTGCTCCGGTTCATAGCGCCTGCAATTAGTCTCCGAGTTGTGAAGACGGCGTACTGCTTCCTGTGAATCACAAAAAATACACTTTAATAAAGCTTGTTCTTGCAAGGCTACTATTAGCCGCTATTAGCCGTAGCTCAGGCTAGGCCGCTTTTAGCCTAGCAGGCAGTAATCGAACATATATTTACCGCTAGCATCTCTTCTTTGAGTTCGTCTTGTTCGATGCAGAGTCGCCATCGCGTCCAAGAGGAGTTTTACCCCGAAATCCCACATACTCCGCTCCAGACCGCCTGCACAAAGCAAAGCATACATCCTCCACTGTGGATCCAGCCCCGCCGCTCTGAGTTTCTTGGAGATCGTACAGAGCATGCGCGAGATGAACCAGGGTGTCCGCGGATCAATAAAAATAATTAAAAAATCATTCTTTTTTTTTTTTTTTTTATCAAGGCCTTAATTGGCACTAAAATTATTTAAATATGTTTATCGAAGTATTTATAATTCTTTAATAAAAAAATGCTTATAAAAACAATTTCGTCAGATATATTATATCGCTCCAGGCGGAGAAAAAGCTAGAGGATATATATATACGTATATATGTGTGTGTATGTGTGTGTGTTTACATACATACAGGAGTCATGGAACTCTGCTTGCAGCTCCTTCATATTTCATGTGTACACTAATAACTTGTGTACATGGTTCTTGTTGATGGCATTAAAATCATTTCAAATAGCATTAAAATAGCATTAAATTAGAGTCACTCATTCCTGTATGAACCCTGTGAGTGCTTAATTTAATATGACATATTAAAAAAATCCCACCATCATCCAGCATATGTTCAGTTTCTGCCCAAATATATATATATATTTTTGTAGATTTTTGTAACGGGGATAAGGATAATTCAAAACTGCTTTTTTTTTAATGAACTTGTTCACTACTTCCAAACTCAGCATCTCTTTTCATTCCTGTAATAAGAAGTTTCTTTTGAATGGATTTGATTAAAGTTTAAGTCCCTCAGTATAAAATAAATATTTTGATGGAGATGAGAAATGTGCTTCCTCGTTGGTGAATAACCAATAGTTTGGATCCAATCATTTAAATAAACGGTGTTAGTTTTTTTTTTTTTTTTTATATAAGAATTGTGCTATAATTTCTAGTCACCGATCTGTTGCTGCTATATTTTAATTTGACAAACCGGAATTTGTCGATGTTCTTTTTCCTGTTTGGTGCGATTGCAATTGCGGATCTTGACCTGGCTGGACCTTATGACCACAGTGTACCAATCTTCTCATGGCTACTTCCAACAGGATAATGCGCCATGTTATAAAGTGAATCATCTCAGACTAATTTCTTGAAACTTTTCCACTTAAGTAATTGTGAATTGAGCATATTGACAGACAACATTTTATTTTTTATCTTAAATGCAATTTTTTTTTTTATAATTACTGCTCTAAATGTATTGCTCTGTCAGCTAAAGATCTGTTTTGGTCTCTATACTTTAATTAAATAAATCAATTCAAGCTAAAATGTAAGAGGCTATACTGAGCCTGATCTCTTTGTATCAGAGATTTTCTTACCCAGAAAGATGTCACTTGGGGTAAAACCCCCCCTGCAACCCTGGTTTGCATTTGTATAGCTCACAGCATGTTCATTTACATGTTAAAGCCTCCCCTAGAATTCCATGGGGGGGAGGCATGGGGGGAACACTGCCTAAGAGAGTCCACGTCAATTTCTGACAATTTAGGGGAGTTTTCGGCGAAGCCTGCAAATTGTCGTAAACTGCCGCTAACCTGAAGTTCCACGACAATCTACAGTGCCGCATATTGACGAAAATCCCACTTTTCATGCAGTGTATGTAATCCAAACTGCAAGAACCAGGATAATAAAAGCAAACATGTTTTGCCGGCAGATTTCAGCATTTTAAGTTCATTTAGTCGTTAATAAAAGGAGTGATCAAAGCAATCTGCATCAGCAGGACTGTCTGTCTCCCTGCCAGCTCCCAGATCAGCGACGAGCTGCTCCTGCTGCTCTAGACGCGCTGCAGACAGCATGCGCATGTGTTTTGAAGGTATGGTTTTGAGGGGTGACCTGAAGGAAGAGGCATGGCTGTGTATGTTCAAAAATATAGCTTGCTGGAACCGTTTTTCCAACATCTCCTACAGCACCTTTAAAGATAACACATATTCATAGAGTTATACATGAAATTTTGCAATTTGCTTGACCATCATTCTCTGGAGTTCATTGTAACGCTTCCCTAGAAGGAACAAAATAAACTGAAATACTGGTTTAAATAGGTGGCTTTAATAGGCTTTAATAAAGACAGGAAGGATTGTCCTTAATGAAAGATGGCAAAGAGAGCCATAAAAACTGCTGTCTTCTTTAGAAATCTAACAGCAATTATCTCCCCAAAGGAGCCAGTGAAACACAGTGGTGGCAGCCTCATGCTATGGGAATATTTTTTTTAACAAGGGGTAGAAAAACCAATAAGAGATGGGTGCAGCCAAAAACTGCAATCTTGGAAGCATGGACGGTTCTAGACAGGTGCCAACAGGGGGCCCCCGTAGAACTGTTCCTGGCCCCCATTATGCCCCCTACTGAAGACGTTATACCAAATCTGCTCAACAATTTAATAAATAAGGTGTTGAACCTGAGATAAGATCAGAATCTTCATCTGTTAGATCAGAGTCTCCAAAGCCTTGAATGGCTTTTTCACTCCTGATATGTTAATGATGAACTATTGCCCAGTTTTTCTCAGTGCCCTTATAAAAACTAACAAACGAGGAAAGAACTCTGGCCCCACCCTGACCCTTTTAAATAAGTTAGGTAAACTATATTTATTAAGCACCTTTTTAAGATAAAGCAATCACAAACCGCGGCACAGACAGCCAATAAAACATTCAAATAGAAAATAATTTTAAAAAGATAAAATGGCAATAAATTACATTAAAGTAAACAGTAAACAAAAGGCCTGAACATTTCCACAGAGGGAAACTGTTCCACAGTAAACTAAACCACCAAACAAATCTGAACTTCCTAACAAAGAGAAGGAGCAGCCATCAATATTATATTAATAGATTACATAGGTAATCTGGATTAAAGAGGAACTCTACTGTTAGCCAGTGTAACGGATATTTAATGGTACTGACGTCGTCTCACTTTCATCAAAGAGTCAAAAGTCTGGCTGCAGCATTTGGAGTCAAGAGTAAAGATTTATCCAAATTAGTAAATAGAGCACTACAGTGATCTAAGCACAGTGACATAAATGCATAAATTGTTTTTTTTTTAACTCAGCTGGAGAGACCACGTGTTGGATTTCAGAAACGAGAAAGAAAGATTTTACATCTAAAGAAGAAATGGGAACGACACCTAGGATTCGGACATTGGACGTCAAAGTGAGAGCCTCGAGGATTTTTTTAATGAAACTGCTGGAGGCGATATATTCTTCGTCTCCCTTTATTTGTTTGTTTTATTAGTTTAAACCCTGATAACTGCTGGAAAGTCAATAGCTGATCTTTAATAAACAGAAAAGGTAAAACTGGTCCAGAACCAAAACTGTGTGGAAGGAGGAAAAAAACAGCTTTGGGGGATATTTTAGAGTTGGAGTCACAATAGAAGGGTTCAAGAAAAAGTTTAATCAGTTCCTACACTGGAAAACAATCAAAATATGGATAAAACTTATTTTCTTAAAATAAGTGCATTTCTTCATGGATCAGGAGGTAAAAGAAAATTTTTGCCAATGAAACAAGACATTTACACTTAAAATAAGAAAAGACAATTGCTTTGTCTTATTTTTAAGTGCATATTATCTAATTATCTCATTTTAAGAGTAAAAATACTCATTCTATTGGCAAACTATCTCATTTACCTACTCAAATTAAGGGTAAATACACTTAATTTAGAAATTTTTACTTCTTTCTAGATAGTTTTTGCAGTGTACAATGGCCTAGTCAAAGTCCAGACATTAATGTGACAGAAAATATATTGTGAAGACCGAAAACTGATGATCAAACTGGCTGAATGATTTTGTTGATCACATCTCAGTCTCTTAAGGGGAAAGCTGGTAGAAAGACACCCCAGCAGACCTTCTGATCCAATTACAGTGAAAACTGGCTCTACTTATGTATCAATATACAGACACAGTCGGTTACATGGATAGCAACAAAATTCCTAAAGGTTAATTTGTTCTAAACGTTTTTGTCATAAACTGTATCAGCAGAACCGAGGTAAACGTGAAGCATGGTGGGAAGAACTGGAAGAATTCATACCTGAGACCCAGAGCAGATCATCAGCTACGCAGCCGGCGTGGCAGGACAGTGAGCGGTCGAAGGGCTGCACAAACATCCACTTGTTCCTCTTGGGACAGTAGCGTTCCACAGAGGGAAGCACCTGCCTCAGCTCGTTCCTGCCCCCCACAGCGTACAGGTACTGACCCAGAGCTCCCAGTACAAAGTGTTCCCTGCACGCCTTCATGGGAGCTATCTCAATCCACCTGTTGCTCCTGGGGTCGTATCTACATGCGGTCCTCACTGCGCACGTCCTCCCAGTAGCGTGCTCCACCTCTCCGCCCACAACAAACAGAAAGTTCCCCATCACAGCCACGCAGTGATGGCTGCGCCCCGTGGGCATGGGCGCCATCTCGCTCCAGTTCGACCCTCTTCCCACCCGTACGTGATCCTGCGCCGACGGGTTGAAGTAGCGCAGCTCCCTAACTCTGCTCACCTCCCGCTTTCTTCCCCCGACTATATAGAGGGTAAGGGACTGGAAGCGAGGCCTGGTGATGGCTGACTGGCGGAGCGGCTGAGAGAAGGTGGCGTGGTTGTAGTCCAGGGCTTCCTCCAACAGGGCGGCGGCAGTGGGGCAGGACTGGAGTAGAGGGGAGGTGTGGGCCAGGTGGTGCAAGCAGGGGACATCCATCAGACCGAAGCGGACGAGCTGCAGGAGATCCTCAGCGTACTGGCAGCGATAGTCGTGTTCCAGCCAGAGAACGACCAACTGGAACAGAGAGAAAGCAGACAAACCGACTCATTATCTGCGCCGAGAAGCTGCTGCAGCCAGAGAGGCTTTCTCAGGCCTTTTGAAAACTGTTGATTGCTGAGAAATCTATGAAGCTGTTGTTGGATTTACACTGATGGGCGGTAGGACCTATGAGGATCACTGACCTCGGATTATTGTAAAACAGAAAGTCTCTCAGCTGCTGCCTTTCTCACAAACAAACAATAAAAGTAACATCAGATATAAAAAGCATTCAGTTCCTATGCTCTGCTTATCTGGAACAAACTTGTAGAAGACTGTAAAAGTGCAGAAAGCCTGAGTTCTTTTAAGTCACAGTTAAAAAAACAATTTGTTTAGAACTGCCTTGGACTGTTGAAGGTAAACTAAGTAATGTATTATAGTTTAAGGTTTTAGTCCAACTGTTTTATTTGCTTTACTTCCTGCTTTTATTGTTACTTTCTTTTATTTTCCTTCTATTTACTGTTTAATTCATGTTAAGCACTTGAAATGGATCTTTGTACTTCCCCTGTTATATGTCTGATTAGTCCATCTCCACTCAAAAAGGAATGGATTCATTAAGTGCACAACAAAAACAGATCTAAAACTATGTAAAAAATGTCTTAAATAAAATTTATTTGCTAGTGATGGTGAGATAAAGCCTCATGAGGCATTGAACCGTTTGGCCAAATAGCTTCAACGATCCCCACGGTTCATGAAGCTTCATGTGAACATGTCACCATCTACTGGTGGTGTGCAGAACTACAGTTAGTAATTGTGATTTTTTTTTTTTGCTATTGTTTTTTTTCCCCTTTAAGTTCCTTTGAAATTGTTAATGATTGATGTGTATAATAAAATCTTTGTGTGTTTAAAATGTCTTAGAAGAGAAAAATCAATTAAGGTACTCTGTTTTTTTGCCATTTTATTGAAATAAGCTCAAGCAGACAGTGAAAGTGCTTGTGAAAACTGGGCAATGATGAGCAAAATGAAAGGTGTTAGTCACTTTTTTCAAACATAATAGTTTTTCCACCAATTTTTTGGTTAAACCAACCAATATAATTTGGCAGTGTTTTTACTCAATCTATATTTCTACTGGCCAAAATACTTGTTGTGTTTTACCGCAACTTTCAAAAGTCTGAGGTGGATGTTGAACCATCAACCTTAGGAGTAGTATACTTAAAACCCATTACATCTGTAACCAGCGGCTTACTCAGATTTTGATCATTAGATTGTTTAATCTAACCAAATTAGTTTTAACCAACTAGATTGGTTGGGAAAAACAGCCAATCTATTCTAAGAACATATCCAAACTCTATCCAACTCTCCTACAAACTCCCACATTTTGACTGAACACAGAGGCTGTTTAAATGCCTAACGATGTTCCAGGCGTGCTGAACCCCTACCCGAAGTGGTCACGTGGTATGACGGGGTAGCGAAACTTCAGACACACATCGAAGCCTCATCTCATGATATCACTAGTATTTTTTAAATTTTTTAAAAATTTTTTTTACATATTTTAAACAATAAAACATTTTATTGTAATGGAAAATTGTCTTATTAGTTAAGAGCCAAAGAAAAAAAACACCTATTTTGTACCTAATGTACTTATATTTCCCTTTTGCAGTGTGTGATCATCTTGTTTATCGTTCACTTAAATATGTAGGGGTTGCTGCAGCTGAAAAGAAAAACTAACAATTTTCACTTCTTCCCCTTATTTTTTCTTTAAAAAGGAAACGGTGAAGGAATAAAGCTTGGCTGAAGCGAGACGAGTTGTTAATAAGCTAAGACAGAAGTATAAAAAGAGGCCAAAGAAACGACTCAAGGACTGTTAATCTAATCTTTTTTCTTTTCGAGAAGCGGACGGACGGACTGAGGTGAGCCAGCACTACGGCCGTAGCTGCCAACACACCAGCATTTATTAATCAGCAGCATTCAATATAGAGACTGTAAATATCCGCGGGCGGCCCGCTTTGTTTAACGCAGGTGAACCGGGAAGCGAGGGGGGGGCTTTAATTGAACCTGAGAGCGGTGGAAGGTTATTCAGCAGCAGTGAGCTGTGAATGTGGGCGAACTGAATGGAGATCACAGATACCATTATTAGGAAAACAAGCCCCCCCCACAGAACCTGGGAACTTATTAGGGAAGAATATATGCACGCTTAACGAAAAATGACCACTGTTAAATTTGAAAGAGACACCAATAACATCTGGAGAGATGAAATGAAGTCTGTGATGATTAAATAGAGAATCCCTCCGTTTCCTCTTCAAGTTTCCTTCAAAGAAGCAAAGATTCAACTCTTTTCTAAGTAAGGTTTCCGTCTTCTGTGGCATCTATGCCACTTCCCTCTCCTTCCCCTGTCGCTCTCTCCACCTCTCTCCTCCTCATCGCTGTGAAGTGACAGTGTGCGTGAGTGTGCACGCCGCAGCAGCTGACTGTGAAGGTCACGCTGCATCACACAACTTCCTCAGGGCACAGAATAAATCAACTCCGTCTCCCTCCTTCCTCTCTGCACTGAAAGGAAAAAGTGTGGGAAGAGTGTGTGTGTGTGTGAGGGTGTGAAAGATGAGGAGGGAGACGCTACAGAAACACAGAGCAAAGACAAGAGAGAGGGAGATATGGGGGCAAAATATACGAAGGCGGAGAAAATGTGATTTCCGCAGCGTAAGAGACGCAGAGAAAACTCAGAGAGACAATGATTGACGGCCGAGATGTGTCGGTCCGGTGCTGGTGCAGCCACCCTTTTTTTTGGACCGCGTTCTCTTCCCTCTTGATGCCCAAATTAACCTTCTGAGCGAAGTGAAGGAGGCCCAAAGCAGCCTAATCAGAGACTGATTATGGCAGCGGCGGCTGGCTAAAGGGTCAGGGTAATTGTGCCATCAGAGGCCTGATTGTTTTCAATCAGACGGGCGGCCGAGTGACAGCTGGGGGATTGGGGGCCCTGATGGAGCCGCGGTGGGCCTAATCAGAGAAGAGAGGGAGAGAAAGAACTGGGGGTGGGTGGGGGAGCCAGGGCTGATTGGTGCAAATGAACAGTCAAAATGGCAAGTCCCCATCCTGCACCGCCGTCTCACTCCACAATCCTGGCAGTTCATCGCGCACGCATGCCTGCTTATATGGACTGACAGCCTGCTGCACCTGTGCACACTAATTCAGAGACGCTCATTACGGTAGCATAGCCTCAACTACGGCAATATTTTAAGGAAACAGGAAGGGTTTCATTTGTTTCTGATTACTTAAAATCATCTGCTCTCCTGAATTGCTTAAAATCTTTTTTTTTTTATGTTTTCACATCAAAAACATTAACTTTTTGTAGTTACTGGAGTTCTATGTAGCAGCTGCAGATTAGCTGATATTTATGTAGTGGAGGAAGAATTATATTTTTATATATAAAAAACATAAAAGCAAAAGAATTTAACCCTGTTTAAACCAAACAAACAAACAAACAAAAAAAAACAAGCCAACCTGTGGAGGTGAGCTCATTGGTTTAAGTGTCAACCCAGCTGTTCTGTAAGAGCCTCAGTGGTTTGGATTAGTGGTCAAACAGCAACACGAAAATGGAGGAACGCAGCACAGTTCAGGGAGAAAATGTAAATCTCCTTAACTTTGAAGACCTGCATATCTACAGGACATGGAAGCAGCCCAGGAGGCCCCCTACTGTCTATAGCAGGGGTCTTCAACCCCTAAACTGATGGCGAGATGGAGCGGGGACCCCCTAATTATATATATATTGTATGAAACTGTGTTCTATCAAACTGGTCCTATAGTCACTCTATTACAGATGAAGTCATGTAAGGAAAGTAATTTCTCCCTGGGATTATTAATTTCTTTCTTATTCTGATTCCTGGTTGATGGGACAGGTGTTGTGAATGAAATGGTGCCCAGCTTGAAAGAGCTCCTGTGTGTCGCTGAATGTGTGCATTGATGACTGAAAGACATCTTCTGCCTCCATTTATCTGTTTACTACAGTGTGTTGAATTCATGTTAATGCGTATTTAAAGACATTTCAATTAGTGGAAAAAATTGTCAACCAAAACTTTAGCGACCCCCATGCAGTACCTCAATGGACCCCATAGAGGTCGCGGACCCCCTGTTGAAGAGCTCCAGTCTGTAGAGTTGCTGCAGAGACCCACAGTCTGACCCACTCCCAGCTAACATGTGCCAAAATAATAGATGTGGCAGAAAGCTAATAATGATCGTCACCTGAAACTTATTATTTCCAATGTGAAACACAGTGGTGGTAGCATCATGCTGTGGAGACGCTTGTCTCCATCAAGGACCAAAAACCTGGATAGTTGATTGGAAAAAGGATGGTTGCATCTCAGTTCTGGAAGGAAACCTTTTAAAGTCCACGTTTTGCAGAGGTTAATCGTTCTGTTCAAACCTGCCTGTATATAACCCTCATTACAGACTGCACATCAACATCATGTTGTTACTTCATAAACTGTGAAAAATGCTGCGATATACACAGCGATATGACAGCTGACACATTAAAGCGCCTGTCCTTAGGTAGAGAAAGAAAAAAAACTACCTTCCATATCTCCTCCTCGCTCAGAGAGGTGAGGCGGTCACTTTTCAGCACCTCCCTGAGGAGGCGGTAGGGCAGCTGCAGGGCTTCGTCTTGTCGGCTCTGGCTCAGCTCAGACAGATGTTCCACCAGGAAAGCCACCACAGCCTCCTCCAAGGCAGGGAGATGGAAGAGGTCGGCCACACGGTACAGCTCCAGGTAGTTCACACTGCTTAGCTCCTGCAGGATGATCATAATGTTAAAGAAAGCATCCGTTAAAATACTGTGTGCATTTTGGTAAACTGTGATGGTATAGCAACAGTAAGGGAAGATGAGACAACACTGCCATCTTCTGGCTGTTGTTAGACATACGATGGAAGTCCTACTTCTACAGAGAAAAAGCTTAAATCACAAAGTGTTCTTTAAGCTGCTCCTGGGTTCTGTTACTTTTATTTGACTTTACAATAAACCAGGGGTAACCAATTAAAAATCTGCGGGGTCTGAATAAAGAAAATCAACAACCAGTAAAGGTCCACAGACATTTTTACTATTATAATCTGTTACTTTAAACAGAATTTAACACTGAAATAAAATGAGGTTTTATGCATCCATGTTATACATTGACTTAAAAAAAAAAAAAAAAAATTTTTTTTCCATTTTAAAATCTAAAGTGCTTTTTGAAATAAAGAACAACAAGCTTTCAGTTTGGTATATAGACAATTTCCTGATTCACATATTTTATAAAACACCTGAACTGACCATTCGTTTTTTTCTTTTTCTTTATTTTTTATGGCTTAATGGAAGCAGGGGGCTTTAGGCTGAACATTAGGAACATATTCCTCAGAGATTATTGCATTTCTTAAAACATCAGACTCTTTACCAACAATGGCTTGGGATGTATGGGGCCATTAGAAGTTATTTGGTTTTTAAGATGATTTAGCACAAGAATAATAGTGAATAATCTGTGAAGGAAACGCTGTTAGAAGTCAAATGTTTCCCTGTGGTGTTGGAAAAACACCATGTTTTAGAATGTGTCCTGTGGTTTTATTTATTTTGTCTGTCAAATGAAAAAACAAGCTAATAAAATGTGGAACTTCCACAGCAGGATCTTAAGATATGCAAATGATTTTCATAAGCAGATTAAAGGAAGAAAATTCCAAATTATCCAGTGTGTGGATTGGGGTTCCTTATATTTGAATAGGCATCAGAGGCCCGTTTAAAAAAGAAGGTTTAACAAACTCGGACTCAAATCTTTAACTCTTATTTGATGTATCCTGAGTTTTTGTTTTCTCATTGGCTGCTGTGAGTTAGTGTAATCAACTCTAACTAGGTCCACTCAGAGTTGAGGACATGTGTAAAAAGTATGAAAAGCCATTATCAGTGGAGCTCTGATTCAATGAGTCACCATGACAACAGGAGACAGGAAGTACCTATTTCACATTACTGAAACTAGAGATTTTGATGGAAAATTTAAAGAAAAAAAAATTTTTGGAGAATGTATTTAAAAGACAGCTGCAAAGGAGAGGGTAATGGCATAGGAGAAGGTTGCCGCTCAAGTTAATGCTTAAGTTTATATGTAGTCCAGTATGGCAGGTCGTTTTAACATTTATTAAAAATGCTCTCCTCTCTATTGTTTGATTTGTAGATCACTAAAATAGGATACTTCCTGGTCAAAATAACATTGTTAATCGGAACTGTAATAATAGATAATCACAATAATATAAAAAAAAATAGTTTACTCGTTGAATGGTAGTATATTAATGTATTATATTTAGGTGATATCTCATGGGAGAAAAGTGCCCACTTCAGCAGGTAAGGATGAAGTATAAAAACATTGTTCTAACAGGTAGGACCTGTGCATGGTCTCATGGGGTTTTATTTCTGTCTTCCATGACATAGTAAATAGGCATTAAGTGGCTGTCTGGCTGTGCAGTTGTTTTCTATAATGCTGTTATCACACATCACTTTGCTCTCACTGATATCAAGTTCTGTGTTAAATATCTGTTAGAGAAGCCTGTGTTATGCTGCATACGTGAGGACGGATAAGGTGGTGAATGTTTAAAGATAACTGAATATAAAGGACATCTATACGCAGTATAAGAATCCTCTCTATATCTAATTCCCTGTGAATTTATTTTGTTCATTTTCTAATTGGATCTTCATCAAAAGGGCATGCTATATTTGTGTTATTAACACCTAATGTCTCTAACAGACCAAGTAAAAGATTTTCTTTTTATTGATTGCACAAAACTACGACAAAACAACTAAGGAAAACATGCTGCTGACCAGGAAATTTATGGGCAGAATGTTTTGTACGGAACTAGTGGCATGTTTTTATGACAGCAGGCTGACAGGAAAGGGGGTATGAGAGAGGGGGAGAGACATGCGGCAAAGGACCACAGGCCGGATTCAAACCAGGGTCGGCCGCTGGGGAGAATGTTACTATGGTAACAGAAACAGAAGTTGTGTGAACTCTCTTTGTGAAACGGAAAACTCAAAGATTCCCTGATTTCAAATTTAATAAACTTAAGAGTTTTCAGAAAACCTGCTTTGTGAAACGTGCCTTGGAATGGATTTTCAGTAAACAATAGTAACAGGAAGGAGTGCATTTTACTAAAAGAAAAAAAATCTGAACATGAGGAAAAAAATTACTGCACTGAAAATACAGTCTGAGCACTTTCTGTGTGCCTGTTGCTATAAACATGACTAAAATCCATTAAAACTATAAACCATTTGTAGGATAACAAAACATTTACACTTATCTTTTATTTGTGAATTCTGGTTTTAAATGTGAATGAACTTTTCTCAATTGCCATTTTTAAGCCTTAAATAAATGTTATTATTTAGAAATGTAACAACACATTTTAAGCTTAATGTTGAATGTGTAAGAAGCGAAGCACTTTGGGAGCCCCCTTCTGGCCTGAGGAGGGAGGCTCTGCAGTATCCTGGTTTGCTGTTGCTTTGGGACAGCAGCTATATCCACCAGATAAACTATTTCTTCATCAAATTGTTTTAGACTAAAAGAATAAAACAAATTTTAAATGTCAGTCTGTACTGAAGCTCTATAGACGTAATAACTACCATCTGCCCTGTTCCCTTACTCTGCTTCATGACTGATGGTTGAGAGGCCCGCTTCAGTCAGTGTGTCCCATGGCAGATATGGCTACAATGTATATGTCAATCTAAGCATCATCAATGGGTGACTGACTGAGTGTTGTAGAAAGTGCTTTGGAGTCCTATAGATACAGGAGATTTTACTGTTCACTTCAGAATCTATGGACATTTACTTCTTTTTCTCTATGAGTTACTTACTGTTTAATTGTGATGAAACCAAACTAATATCTCAACATTATCTCCTTTCCTTATGCAGAATAAGGATCCATCACTTTATCCAACTCACATCCCATCCTCCATGGACCGAGACTGGTTCTCTTAAGCCCATATCAACCTATTTTTTTCTCTATTTAGGCGTTAATGCAGGTTTGTTTCAGGCCTTAATGAATATAACTCCAATTTTAATGTTTAATTAATTTCAGAAATAATTTATTCATCCCAAAGGGAAATTAAATATAGCCATTGCCATTTTTTAAAGAGTTGTTGTGGATGTTAATAACTGTAGGCAGGAGGGATCTTCTATAGCGGAGTGTCCTGTAAAATCATCTCCAGAGATTCTAGAAGATCTCCTAGAACTTCTTTTATGGGCTTGTTGAGCTTCTTTAAGTGATTTGATCTGATACTGGTTACCCTAGCAGATGATAGCAGGAGATCACACTCTCAACAACAGACTGACAGATATTCAGTCTTATTCTCAGATTACAGCAAGTAAAACTTTATTGTGCTTGCTTTAATGTTTTAACCAAAGCTGACAGAGAACATGCAAATTTTTTTAAACTTTTCCACTTTTACAAATTATAATACAACATCCAACTGCCATGCATGTGGGCATTGTCACTTTAACTATAGCTCTGGTGAATTTCAATGGTGAAGTCCTCTGGAAAGCTTCAATAATTGTTGTTGATTGCAGATGTGTCTAGTAGTTCCCATTGATATTGCTTGTAAAGCGGGAAGAATGGCGCTAGGCTTACCGCACCGTGATGTCACTGCTGGAAGATGGCAGGAGTGAGGTGTTACTATATTTGGGCAAACATGGCTGGTCCCAGACTCAGTGATCATGACAAAAACATTGTTATTATTTTGTTACTGATTAATGCTAAATTCATTAAATCACCTTGAACGTATTAGTTTTAGGTATAGAAAAATGACTCTTTGGTTATTCCTTGTTGACCGGACCTTTCCTTTAAGTTAACTTCCTTATATTTAGGAGGTATGGGGAATTTAAGAAATAAGTTTCTATAGATCTGATTTTATGTTACTATATTTTTAAATAATAGGGGTTCTCATTGTATGAATATGAATATGAAATTGTTGACTAACCTGTTGATAGGAAGCATCCCACTTCCTCTTCTTACCCCCGTCCTTCCTTATTCCTTCCTAATAAGCCAGATGAACTGCACAATGGCACATTTTAGGAAACTCTTTTGACTGCAGATACATTGGATTCATTTAGTAGGTATTTATTTCATAAATGCTAATCATAAGATGTACCTTAGGCTTTATTCAGAAGCTATTGGTATGATTTATAAAGCCAGAATCTTCAGCTCTTCATGAAAATAATATTAAGTCACATGTATGTTATCATTTAATTTAACAAGCTTATTTATTTTAAACATACACTTATGCTAATAAAACTAATAAAATAGTTCATAATATCAGGGACTGAATTATTTTTTCAGGGTTTAAGCATATATACATTTTTTTGCATTGTTGGACAACTTTATAAGTAATGTTCAGGTAGGTTTACAAGAATGCAATAAACGCTGCATCTTATTCGGATGAAATCAACCTTTCCACAAGAATTTCAATGTTTACAATCAAAAACATTAAAACACTTACTTAATTCAACTCTCCATCTAGTTAAAATAAAAACATTACTGCTTTGGGATTTTTTTTTTTTTTAGGCAAGCTGCTCCACACACATCAGGGTATACAACCACCAGATGGCACTTTAGAGCTATATTTAATATCTTGCCACAACAAAATAATGGATTAAATTACTGGTTTTCTAACCTGGTCCTTGGGTCCCACTATCCTTTGTGTTTTAGTTGTGTCTCTCCAGCATCACACCTCAATCAAATGACTGTCTTCCTTCTCAGCAGCCACCAAGGCCTGCAGAGGCCTTT